CACTAGATGAACAATTTTATAGGGATTCGATCTGACCTCTTCTATATAGGTTAATGTCATCGAGCAAGCACTCGGATATATAACCTCAAATTGGTTAAAAATCCTAGGAGGATGTCTTGTATCTCAATCTCAAGATGATCAATCCAAAGGGATTTGATCTGACCTCTTCCATACATGTTAATATTATCAAATAAATTATTTGACTAATAACCACGGATAGGTCAAACATCCAAGGAGGATTTTTCTCACATTCGCTCAAGTTAAATTAGCTTACTAAAGTATTTCTCATCATCCAAGTAAACTTCATATAAATATGAGAAAAACAAAAAAAGAGCATTAATAACATCTTGATATATCATTAAACATATCACATACATTATATGAAAAATATCAACTCCATATACAAACAACAACCATTGAAACATATAAAATTGTATAATCAATAAAAAAAAAATACTATATAATTTGAAATGGTAAAAGTTTTCTACAACTCACTCTCATTTTTATCACCATCTGAATCTGAAGAAGAATGACCAGAAGTCTTGCTAGGTGTCATCCCCTTATCCTAAGCTCCAGTCCTGTGCTGCACTAGATGAAAGCCTTTAGAAAAACCTCTAATGAAATATTTCTCCATATACTCTAGCTCTAATGCCTTCACCTCCGCATGATATATGTGATTACGAGCTTCCTGAATTTAATATTTGATAATCATTTTGAAGTCAACATACTTCATGAATTCTTCCATGACTTTGGAGCGTAGCAGTTTTGATTTGGACTTAACTTCATTCTCAAACAATAAACTCTGATGCCTTTTGATCTCATATTCATTGGCTATAATTTTCTTCTTAAGTTTCTACTGATCTTTCATATATTGATTGATAATTGCCTGCACATCCACCAACTCAATATGAAGATGATCTATATGTTAATTATGTAAAATGGTTGAAGTAGCCAAAGTTGCCAACTCTGCTCTTCACTATGCTAGCTACTCTTCCACTGTCTTCATTACCTTGATTTTGCTATCATACTTCTTCTTGTACTCTACCTGAAGATACTTGGGCTTCATAAACTTATTATTCCAATCATTCAATGTCTTGGTCAATTTAATTTCAAGATCCATACATTGCAGCATCTGAAATAATAAGAAACAAAAAATCATAAGGGATATATCATTATGAAAATATAAAAAGAAAAAATAAAAAAAATGGGAACTCAAGAACTACTCAGTCCATCGATAGCAAAAATATTGATGTTTCAAAACATTTTCTAGAATTTGTAACCTGGATGGAGAAATATGGTCACTTTTGCCAATAACTGTCAAAATCTCCTCCACCTTTTTATTCTTTGATACATGTGGATCACCATCTTTCCTTAATTGTTTAGGAGGAACATTCCAAGTTTGCAACCCTGCTTATATGATTTTAGCTAAATTCTTTAGCGTATGTGCATATGATATTCCTTCCTGAATAGATAGTCATGCCTTGAACAAATAATCTTCATCTATATATCTACTCAAAGTTAGAGAGAGAAGAGAGGAAGGATCAATTTTTTCATTACCCTATGAAGGTATTTATAGGATGAAAATGGGGGGAAATTATTTGAAAAATGAGGGGAATTAACCTCCCATTTTTAAAAAAATTTAATTTCATTCTAGAAGTTCTTTCAAATTTTTTGTGATTAAAATATTAAAATTTTTTAAATTAAAAAAATTTCCAAATAAATAAATAAGTAAATAAAATAAAAAAATAAAGAGAAAGGGTGGAACCCACAAAACTTTATATATATATTTAATATATTAATATATATATATATATATATATATATAATATATATATATATATTATATGTATATATATATATTAAGTATTTAGCTGTTTAGTTGCCGGCTGCTGCTCGGTGAAGCACGCCCCTTTAGGGGCGCAAGCATCAGGGTCGGCCCCCACAAACTGATTGCAGTCGGCTGGTTCGGCTACCTAAGCACGATTGACTCAATTTTTTGGCCTGGACAGATCCAAATCAAAGTTTTTAAGGGTCTTCCAAAACCATTTTTTTGACATTTTGAATATAATTTTAATAGTTATGGAGCTCAAGGCAGCTTTATAATAAAATTTTGAGTACTTTTAAATTTCTTGGAGCATATTTTTAAGACTTTTATTGAGATTCTAACAAATTTGGAAATACTGTGACAAGTTTTAAATTTCTAGAAGTGGACCAGAGACGCCACTGAAAACAAGCTAAACAACCTGGGGAAAGAACCTCAGGTGTAGGCGTCAGACCTAGCTCCACCACCAATTCTCGAACCTTGGATTACCCATGCTCACACCAATTACTAGATCTCTTATTCTTCACCACCTGCACAATCTTGTTAGGATACATAAAGAAACCAGAGAAATATCAAAAATAGATCTCTTTTTCTCGAATGAGAATTTACTCTCAAAAACCTAATAAAAAATCTGCCTCCCTCTAAGGGAAACTATTTATACACACAAGAGAAAGAAAAAAAAATAGAACTAATGCTAGGCTAAAAGTTTGTTAGGGATGTTAGGCCCTTATGAACTAACCCAAGGCTAATTAAGAGAGATGAATTGGTATTTTAAAAAATCTTAAGAAATAAAAAAGCCAAACCAAAATCCACCACAAAGAAAACACAATGTGAAAATTAAATGCATAAATAATAAAGGAAAGAACACACCAGATTTATAGTGGTTCGATCAAACCTTGACCTACGTCCACTCCTCGGAGGCACCCTTCGAGTATTGTACTAAACTCAGTGTCTCTCTTTTAGACCCCACAGCTAGGAGGAGAAGCCCTTACAAAATCACTTTCACCTTCCCCGGTGCGGCGGAGTAGCCGGGTCCTTTGACACCAAAGAGATCTTCTTCTTTCCAGATCTTCCCTCAGAACAAGCCTTGAATTCGATGGTACTAAGGTGCAAGCTCGCTGGAGCAACCTGTGTAGAATCCCCCTCCACACTCCCTTGAAACCCCCTCAAAGGATCTTCTCCCTCTCTCAAACTCCACCCTTTTCTCTCTTCCTTTCAAGCTCTCTTCAAGTTCCCTCCAAAAGAACAAAGCTATAATGACTGCCAAATACCCTCTTCATGAGAAAGCAAGAGGTCTTTAAATAGATTTGCAAAACTGACATTATCATCCAGGATGATCCCCGGATCATCCCATACGATATGCATAAAAAGAGAGCTTTCAAAAACCCTAAAAACTCAATTTTAGCACCTAACATCATCCAGGATGATCGCAGGATCATCCTGTACAATGTGCTTAAAAAGAGTGCTTCAGTAAACCCTAAAAACTCAATTTTGACTCCCAGAAGCATCTTGGACGATTGCAAGATCGTCCAGTACGATGTGCTGAATTTAACCTGATAGATCTGGACGATATTTGGATAGTTCAGGATGATTAGTACAAAAAATATACAGATTGTCTAGGACAATATTGTGGATCATCTAAGATATTATGGATCATCCAGGATGATTAAACGAAAAATTATGGTATTTTGGCTTGGACGATTTAGGAAAATCAAGTATGTCGGCAAACATTATTCTGTATGATATGCAGATCGTCTAGGACGATCCGATTGCAAAATTTACCATAATTAATTCCTTTAATCATAGGATCAACTTAGGCATAATTAGTATTGATCATCTTAGACAATCAAGATCGTTCGGGATGATTAGAACAAAAATTAAAACTTAAAATCATGCCTAAATTAGCATTGGTGGAAGTTTTACAATATCATAAAGGATCGTCCTGGACGATCCAAAATCATCCAGTACGATTAGTTCAAAACTTGATCTTCTGGATTTGACTAGATCTCACTCCCTAGAGTGTGCGTGTGCATGGTCATCAAGCAAGCATACACCCTTACAAGACTTGATTCAAGAAATCAAAAATTACATCAATGAATATTATAAACCCTTTTACAACATTACATTATTCAACCCAGTCTTTAGCTCTAATTCTTTATTTGATGTTGCATGCTATTCCTGAAATTCTAGTATACACATAAATAAACATACATTGCAAATACAAGAAGACAACAGAAAGTGAGCCATAAGGAAGTGTCATTTTCTAGTGAGAGAAAGTGTCATTTTCTAGTAAGAGAAAGTGAATTTCAAATTTTTTTGTTACTATTTTTTCTCGCCGATTATTTGATCCGGTGATCTATCTCCGATAATCGGAATATGAATGATGGGTGACGATCCTCCTTCTACTGCAATGGATGGGAGGACTAATCCTCCAAATTCAAAATCTTCTGAAAAGAATATTACATTTGAATTGCTGACAGGTAGAAATCATAAAGTATCTGTAAAGGAAAGACCACTGATCATTAATGAAAGAGCTTGTCTTAATTCAAAAAAGACAAGTCCTATAATTGGGAAAGGCAATGCTGTTCTAATTGAAGATGGTGTGAAGAGCCTGAAGAATTTTAAGAATCTAAAATTCAATTCTGGAAGCCCGAATACTGCTAATTATTCGGATTTCAAATTACATGTGAGCAGATTTTGTAATTCTACCCCATGCAGTCCTGTTGATCTGATTTCTAAATGTGGAAATTCAAATAATGGCGATATTATTGATGGAATCAATCATCGTGTTACTGATGAGGTGTTCGTTGATAAGCCGCATCCTGTTAAGAAAACTACAATTCATAAACAGGTCAGACATTGTGATTCAGGTGATTTGAACACTGAAATCAATTGTCCCAGTAAAATTTGTCCTCTAGAAACTTCTAATAAAATGGGCAACATTAAAACAAATGTTTGGGCAAGAAGTGCCAATGTGAAAGTGGATAATTTGAACTTAGGTTCATTTGTTGCTGAAGATGGGAAAACTGTAAAACTGCATATGGAGAATGTTTTGGAGAATTATAGAATATTGGGAAATGCTCTTGTTATCAAATTTTTTGGTGATAACATTCCATTTTAAGTGATCAATAGTGAGTTAAGAAGACAATGGAGTTGTTATGGCAGCTTTAGACTCACTATGCTGGGTCAAGACTGGGTTCTTTGTTCTTGTGAGAATGTTGAGATTATGGAATCTATTTTATGTGAAGGACCTTGGTTTATTAAAGGTCATATAATGGGCATTGAAAAATGGTCACCTTCTTTTTCTACAAACTCCTTGAAAGGTCTTTCGGCTCCGGTTTGGGTTAGACTCCCTAATCTGCCTTTATATTGTTGGGACAACTTAAATATTTGTAGGATTGCTTCTCTAGTTGGAAAGCCGTTTCTACTAGACGGAAACATGTTCAAATGGAATAGAAGAGAATTTGCAAGGATTTGTGTTTGTATCAATTTATACGAACAACTTCCTTTGGGAGTATGGGTGGAAGGTGAATCCAAAAAATTTATCAAAATGTGGAATATGAAAAAGTTTCCAAACTTTGTTTCAAATGTGGCAAAATTGGACACTTAATGATGAAGTGTCTTGGTTATATGCCTGCAGATTTTAAAAATAATTCAAATGTTATTTCTTCTAGAGTGGATTATGTTCTTAAAGCTAACGCAGTTCATGAAGTTGATGTTGCAAATGTTGATCCGGAAGAGCAAGGGTATGGTCCGTGGATGCAAGTCAGATATGGGAGGAAAAAGAAATTTCAGAACAATGCAGTTAAGGTTAATCAAAAACCTACTGCTCGACCAATTATTCTAAAAGAAGTTTGGAAACCTGTCACAGGTTCAGTTCCAGCTGTGGTTCTAAGTCAAATTCCTATTCCAGGAGTCCCTGTTCTTGCTGCAGAAGACTTGCTTTTGGTTAAAAATCTGAAGAATGATGACAGAGATAAAGACCTTGTGAATGATGATTTAGCTATTGATAGAAACCTGGAAGAACGAGAGATTATAGAGGATATGCCTATCAATAAATTGGATTTATCTCAAGTTGACAATGGGATTCCAACTAGTAAGAATCTAAAAACTTCTCAACATATTATCTTAAATAATAATATGTTTGATATTCTTAACACAGTAAACGAGGATGCTAATAATGTTGCTTTTACTATGAAGAATAATATTGATGGTAATGTTATTATGTCATCCCTTAAACCGAAGGATATGGCTTTAACTGTTAAAAAAATTAAAGTGGTTAATAGCTCGGTTAAAAGGAAATTGGGAAAAGAGATCAAAACTCTTGGACCAATTAAACTCTTGACTAGAAATAGAAGAATGGAGATGGAAAATAAAGACAAGAAGAATGGGGCTAGTCCCCCTTCTAATCAATGAATTCCATTATATTTTGGAATTGTAGAGGAGCAAGGAAACTTAATGCTTCTCTATATCTAAAAGAGTTTGTCAAAAAGTATGATGTGGACTTTATTGGTTCGTTAGAAACCAAAGTTTCTTCAAATGACTAGAAATGATATTAATGCTCTGATTAGTATTGAGTGGGATTTTTTTCATTATCCCTCGGAGGGTCTTTCTGGAGGGATTCTAATTCTTTGGAATTATATGTTTGCTTCTTTTAATACATTGTTTTCTTCTTATCAATGTGTTATTGGTTATTTGGATATACATAATAAAGGAATTTGGAGGATTTCAACTATTTATGCTAATAAATATTCCTATAAAAGGCGGGACCTTTGGAATCAATTGGAGAATTATTTGCTTCTTGATAAACCTTCTATGGTGGGAGGTGATTTTAATTGTCTTTTATCTCAAACTGATAAGAAAGGAGGTAGAAGATTTGAATTCTCACAAAGCTCAAAGGATATGAAATTATTTTTTTCTAACCTTGATTATCATGAATTGAATTTTATTGGGCCAAGATATACTTAGTATAATAACAAGTCAGGTGGAGCTCGTATCCTTGAAAGACTTGACAGATGCTTTGTTAATACATTTTCTCTTGAGTCTAACTCTTTATTGGTGGTTCATCATCTCCCTCGTATAACTTCTGATCATTGTCTCGTTATGATGAAATTATGGGAAAATAAACCAATACCAAATGGCTTTATCAAGTTTGAAGACACTTGGGCTTTTCACTATGCTTCTGCGACTATTGTTCAAAAAGCTTGGACTAGAAATATTGTCAATCATCTCTTAGATAAACTGGATATCAAGTTTAAAAGAGCTTTGAAATCTCTTTTCTATTGGAGCAAATCAAATCTGAAAAAACTTAACCTGGAGAAAGACAATCTTATCAAAGAAATATTGGATCTTCAAATGGAGGAGTCTGCAGTTGGTAGCCTTTTCGAAGGTAAAATCCTGCTTCTTAGAGCCAAAATCAATGAACATCATTGCACTTTAGCCCGATTAAATTCCTGGTGGAGACAAAGAGCTAAAGTAAAATGGTTAAAAGAGGGATACTTAAATACAAGGTTCTTTTATTCTTTTGCAAATGCTAGGAGAAATGCAAACTATATCTTCAACATTAAAGATGAGAATAGAGAATTGGTGGAGGAGAAAAGTAAAATTGAAGAAATTTTCTTCAAATTTTTTCAATCCAAGTGGAGTCACAGGATTTGTTCTTTGAATAACTGGCCATGCCCGAGAGTTACTCTATCCGATTTGGATAGAGCAATGTTAAATTATGAGCTTAACTTGAAGGAAGTTTGGGATGCTGTCAGCCATTTGGAGGGAGGAGATAATGAAGGAGACAATGAAAATGTGATGAAAATATTTCTAAACATTCTCAACAAAAGTCATATACCGGAGATTGAAGCAAGGTTCTATTCCTTTATTAAAGAGTTTAAATGTGTTATTTTCAAACATGTTAGTAGGGAAAGCAATAAGTTAGTAGATTTCTGTGCTAACTATGCTCATAACGGTGATTTTAATTGGGATTGTCTTACAATGAATCACATTCCTTCTCCTTTTTTTTTCTTATTTTAAAGGAGGAATGTGATGCTATTAGCTTATATTAGCTTATTTTCTTTTTAATGCTATTGCTTTATGCATCTTTCAAAAAAAGAAAGCGAGCCATAATATTTGTTATCATAAAAAACATAAAATCATAAGCTCAAGTTGCAACAATCTCTCCCTTTTTTATGATGACAAATATTACTGGTTGAATTGCAAAATTAAAAACATTTTCTCCTAATCTCCCCCTCACTAGAATAAAAATTTAAAAATAGGGGAAGATAATATTTTTATTGTTTATATTTTTTTTTTAAAAAGAAAATATATATAAATACAACAGTACGTTCTTCCCCTTTGACATTATCAAAAAGAGGAGGGCACAAAACAATCAGAATAATAAAAACAAATAAAAACCAAAGCCATCCCTGTTCTAGTGAAAAGAAAAAATCAAATATTTTTAAAACGAGAAAGTTGCCTCTTGATTTTAATTAAAAACTTATTTAGAAATGGATTGACAACGCATAATCCAGAAAAGGTTAGGAATTCAGAAATTTTTAATCCAAGCTCAAGTTCTTTTAAAGGCTCAAAAATGTTTTAATCCAATATCTAAATCAAAGAATAAATTAGAAAAAGAAACTCTAATTTTTTAAAACTCCTTTCATAAAACATATTTAATAGAAGATTAATGAAAAAATTGGTGAATAAAGAATATGGATTTTCAAGATCAAGTATCAAAAATATCAAGGGTTTTCTTAGGCTTTAAGTAATACAAAAAAAATAAGCATACTCTTTGTGGGCTCATTTTATGCCTCATGTCAGTTTTTGGCGCACTTTGTGCATCTTTTACTTTTTGATACACATTGTGTATCTTTCTCAATTTGGCGTCATTGCTCATCTTTTGATTTGGCATCATTGGCCAGTTTTTTGATTTGACGTCATTGGCCTTTTTTTTAATATGCTATCTTTTTGAAATTTTAAAAATAAAAGTAAACCCATTCTATTAATAAAGTGAACTATTTGATTAAAAAAATTATGAGGTAGATTCAACAACTTTTAAAGGATCTTTATGTGATAAACAAAATGTAAGGAGATGAAAAAAATCAGTTTCAAAATCCAATTTATAATATGATGAAGATTTCGAATCAAAAGTAAAATGACCTTTTTAAGATAAGAGATGGACAGGAAAAATCATGAGTTTCCTTTCTTTGACTGTTTTTAGATAAGTCAACCACAACTTATATAAGAAATTAAGAAAAATAGGAGGTAGATTTTTCATTTTTAGAAAGGTGAATGTGTGTGTCGATCAGAGAGAACTTCACAAAAAAAGAAAAGAGAGTACAAATTAAATAAAATAATGAAAAAGATAAGAAAAGAAAAAACAAAGAAAAATAAATCCAAAGAATAAACACAAAAAAACACAAAAATGAACAAAACATGTATACACTAAAAAATAAACACACAAATAATGGTTTAAACATCATCTTGCTCCTGGTCTGATCATTCAGAAGCTAGGTCTGCCTAGGAGATTTTTTGCTTTTCATTATTTGTCATTTTTACAATTTGCTTAGCTTTGCCCTTTTTTTTTGTAGGAAGAATTCTCAAATTAGGGCACTGATTTTTCATGTGTCCAGGCTTCCTACATCTAAAGCAAATAACGTTAGAAAAAATCTTAATGTTCTTACCATTTTTATCTTTATTCCACTTTTGTTGATGCTTATGCTTTGGTGGGCTTTTTAATTTACTTAATAAGTCATCGCTTTCATCACCAACTAAGCCACCTTTCTCCGAGTCTTCAGCATTTAGTACTAACATATCACCTGCATCCAAAAGTCTTTGGCCCGAACTTTATGCGTAGTCAATAAGTGAGCCAATAAAAATATCAATAGAATATTCATTCAAATTTTTTGATTCACAAATAGCAACAACTTTGGCATCAAATTTGTCAAGTAAATAATGTAGAATTTTATTGACTTTTTCAATGTTTGAAAATTCTTTACATAAATCATACAATGATGTCATAATTTGAAGAAACCAAGTATATTTTCTAAGATCGACTCATAAGGTTTTATGCAAAATAATTCATAATCATGCATTAAAATATTAAATATGGATTGCATGATTTCACTAGTGCCTTCGTATATAGTGTGTAATTTTTTCCAAATTTCCTTGCCAGTAGTGCTCGTGGAAAGAAACACAAAATCTTTAGAATTTAAAGCATAGAAAAAAAAGTTCAAAGATTTAGCATTTAATTGAGCATTAATTTATTCTTCTCTACTCCATTGATTAAAAGAAATATCAGTTTTAATTTCATCTATAATACGTGACGGTACAAAATAACCAGTTAAAATCATTTGTCACATTCAAAAATCAATAGAATGCAAGAAAGTAGACATGCAAATTTTTTAAAAATCAAATAGAATATTTTCAAATAAAGGTGGTATGGTGATTGAATAACCTTCCGCAATATTACAATTACCAAAATTAGCCATGGATCGAAATTCAAAAGTTTTCAAAAACTTGTTTTTATGAATCCCGCTCTGATACCACTTGAAAGTTCGTTAGGGATGTTAGGCCCTTATGAACTAGCCCAAGGCTAATTTAGAGAGATGTGAATTGGTATTTTAAAAAATATTTCGTAATAAAAAAGTCAAATAAAAATCCACCACAAACAAAACACAATGCGGAAATTAAAGGTAAAAATAATAAAGGAAAGAACACACCGGATTTATAGTGGTTCGGTAAAACCTTAACCTACATCTACTCCTCGGAGGCACCCTTTGAGTATTGTACCAAACTCAGTGTCTCTCCTTTAGCCCCCATAGCGAGGCAGAGAAGCCCTTACAAAATCACTTCCACCTTCCCCAGTGCGGCGGAGTAGCCGGGTCCTTTGCACCAAAGAGATCTTCTTCTTCCCATAACTTCCTTCAAGAAAATCAATGAATCTGATGGTACTAAGGTGCAAGCTCGCTGGAGTAACCTGTGTAGAATCCCCTTTCATACTCCCTTGAATCCCCCTCCAAGGATCTGCTCCCTCTCTAAAACTCCACCCTTTCCTCTCTACCTTTCAAGCTCTCTCTTCAGGTTCCCTCCAAAAGAATGAAGCTACAATGGCTGCCTCTTCATCAGAAAGCAAGAGGTCTTTAAATAGATTTATAAAATATACATTATCGTCCAAGATGATCGCCAGATCATCCTGTATGATATACATAAAATGAGAGCTTCTGAAAACCCTAAAAAATCAATTTTGGTGCCAAATATCATCCAGGACGATCGCAGGATCGTCCTGTACTATGTGCTTAAAAAGAGGTCTTCAAAAAATCCTAAAATCTCAATTTCGGCACCCAGAATCATCCTGGATAATCGCAGGATCGTCTAGTACGATGTGCAGAATTTGACCTGGTAGTCCTGGATGATATTTGGATAGTCTAGGACGATATTGTGGATCGTCCAGGACGATTATAAGAAAAATTATGGTATTTCGGCTTGGACGATATAGGAAAATCAAGTATGTCGACAAATATCGTCCTGTACGATATGCATATCGTCCAGGATAATCCGATTGCAAAAGTTAACCATAATTAATCCCTTTAATCATAGGATCAATTTAGGCATGATTAGTATTGATCGTCCTAAACGATCAAGATCGTCCGGGACGAAAAAATTAAAACTTAAAATCATGCCTAAATTAGCATTGGCAGATGTATTCAAATATCATAAAGGATCATCCTGTATGATCCAAAATCGTCCAGTACGATTAGTTCAAAACTTGATCTTCTGGATTTGACTAGATCACACTCCCTTGAGTGTGTGTGCATGGTCACCAAGCAAGCAAACACCCTTACAAGGCTTGACTCAAGAAATCAAAAATTACATTAATGAATATTACAATTCCTTTTACAACATAACATTATTCAACCCAATCTTGAGCTTTGATTCTTTATTTGATGTTGCATGGTATTCCTTAAATGTTAGTATACACACAAACAAACATATATTGCAAATACAAGTAGATAACAGAAAGTGAGCCATAATATCTGTTATCATCAAAAACATATACTCATAAGCTCGAGTTGCAACACAGGCTACATCGCAGGTACACAAACATAACAACACAGGAGATGTGCAAAGTTTCTTCCCTACAAAGTAGCATATAAGATTTCCCAGACTCTGATTAACATTTTTTGTATGGCCATCCGCCTGGGGATGTGCGACGAAGCTAAATTGCAGCCAAGTTCCCATTTTTCCCCACAAAGTTTTCTAGAAATGACTTAAAATTTTGACATCCCGATCAGAGGTGATGGTTTTGGGAATTCCATGAAGACAAACTATTTCTCTAAAGTAGAGATCGCCAATGTAGGTGGCGTCAAGAGTCTTGTTACAAGCAAAACAAATACACCAACTTCGAGAATCTGTCCTTGACACTATGATAGAATCTTTATTTCTTTGTTTATGGGGTAGTCCCAACATAAAATCCAATGATACATCCTCCCATGATCCCCGAGGAACAGGTAAAGGTAAATACAACCCATCATTTGTTCTAGTCGTCTTTGCTTGCTGTCAAATTCTGCAACCCTGCACGTATTTGCCTACATCCTTGGACATAGCAGGCCAATAGAACTTCTCCTTGATGAGGACCAAAGTTTTTTCACGTCTGAAATGGCCAGCCAAATCTCTATCATGATATTCTGAGATCAAAACTGTCCTGAGAGAACACCTAGGTACCAAGAGGCAATTGTAGAAGAATAAGTATCCATCTCGGATGTGGAAAAATTGATATGCATGGTTTTGACATTTCTCCCATTACTACTTGAAATCCATGTCCTGTGCATATAATTCTCGGATGGAGTCAAAACAAATGAGCTGAGTTTGCATTTCCTAAACCAATATATGTTGTCTACTTAAGGCATCTGTTACTTGATTTTTCTTGCCCGACTTGTGCTTCAACACAGTGAAACACATCTAAAGATTCAACCCACGTTGCATGTCTACCATGAAGCTTCTTATGGCTACTAAGGAACTTTAATGCAGCATGATTAGTGAAGATAACAAACTCTTTGCTTAGGAGATAATGACTCTAGTGGTGGAGAACCCACATAATAGCATAAAATTTATTGTCATGTGTCAAATAATTTTGGCGTGAATCATTTAATTTTTCACTAAAATAAGCTATGGGCTGGTCTTCTTGGATTTTTATGTCTCCAATCCCCACATTAGATGCATCACAATCGACTTGGAACAGTTTGCCAACATCAGGTGGTCAGAGCACTAACGTCGCCATCATTTTCTCCTTAAGGAGTTTGAAACTACTTTCATCTTCTTCTGTCCACAAGAACTTGTCTGCCTTTAGCCTTCTGTGAGGGGAACAACAAGGGTGCTAAAATTTTGAATGAATCGATGGTAAAATGAACCAAGCCATGGAGTCTCCGCATGTCGATGAAGGACTGTGGTGTCAGCCAGCTCAAAGTAGCTTCGATCATCTCCAGACTGACTTCGATTCCGGATGCCGATAGTATGAAACCCAGGAATTTAGTGTCTACTTAGAAATTGGCACTTCTGAAGGTTACCATACAACTTTTGTTCTCTTAACTCCTCGAGCACTTGCCTTAAGTGTTGTAAATGTCTTCGGAGGTCGTTGCTGTAGACAAGGGCATCATCAAAGTAGATGATCACAAATTTACACAGGAAAGGCTAGAATATCTGATTCATTAATCACATGAATGTACTAGGGGCGTTGGAGAGGCCGAACGGTATCACCAACCATTCAAATAGACCATCTCTGACCTTAAAAACTGTCTTCCATTCATTCCTCTCTCGGATTCAAATTTGATGATAACCGCTACGCAAGTCTATTTTGGAAAAGATCTTTACCCCTTGAGACTGGAGTCGCCACCGAAAAAAAGCTCAAACCAGGGGAAAAGAGAGTCAGGTGTAGGCATCAGACCCAGACACCACCATTCAGCCTTGGATGACCATGCTCACACTAATTACTAGATCTCTTGTTCTTCACCACCTACACAATCTTGTCATGATACAGAAAGAAATCAGAGAAATATATAAAAAAAAAAACTCTTATTCTCAAAAGAGAATTTCCTCTAAAAAACCCAATAAAAAATTGCCTTCGTCCCTCTAAGGGAAACTATTTATGCACATAAGAGAAAGAATGAAAAACATAACTAACACCAGGCTACACCGCCGACACACAAGCATAATAACACAGGAATTTAAACGTCGTAAGTAGATGCTCCGGCATCATGGAGCTTTGACGCCCAATGATAGAAGGGCAACTGATATATCATCAAAGAAATAACTTGATTTGGGACGAATCTCGAGGGAAAATCAAGTTGGAAATGTCAAAATTAAATAGGAGACCATATGAACTCCAATTTTAGTAAACTTATAGTCAAACTGAACATCTCGAAAATACGAACCCAATGACACCAAATTCAACTCAATACTAGCCCAAACGAGTCAAAATAAAAGTCCCAACACATATTTGGAAAGATTAAACCATAATTTGGATTACCAAATGGATTCTGAACGTGACATGCTTATAGTTGAATTGAGCGGCTCGACGAGACTAATCCAACATGCCCAAGATCGTCGAATTTGAATATCATTAAGGTATTCAAATACCCAATAAATGATTCACGATCGAGAGATTCAATATCAGCCGTCCTTTAAAACTACTCTCAATTTATCCTTGATCTTCCTCCTATTTATTGATCATGTCATTCTCTGAGAACTATAAATAGACCCCTCATTTCTCATGAGAGAGTGACCCAAGCAAGAAGAGGAGGAGGATAATTCTCTTGCCACCAAATTCCTCCTTGACTATCACGGAAGTTACACCCGGCAGCTGACCGATGCAAGACTTATACCCAATCGCCAACTGACGATAGAATTCTGCCCGACCGCAGACTAACATCGGATTCCCTCCAGGCCGTAAATTAAAGTCGGATTTTTGTCCGGCCACTAAACGTCGTCGAATTTCTGATCTCCGCTTGTAACTGGATTTCAACCCGACGGTTAATTATTATAATCTGATCGTCCTCAATTTAAGGGGCGACTCAACCACTTGTAATCTAATCAAACACTAATTGAATCATTTCAAATTGGGCTAGGCCCCATAATTTTTTTCATTTTTAGGATTTTTCATGTAAAAATCTTGGCGTCTCTTATAAATATTGCACCATCTCTTTTTTTCTAATTGTGTGGTGGATCTTTGTACAAAACTAAGACGATTAACTCTATATTCTCAACCGCCGCAAAAATTCAAATGTAACAACAAGCAAAAATTTTAAAAATATATATTAATAATTATCTAGCTTATTCCATTATAAAAAATTTCTAGCAAAACAATTAAAATTGTCATACAGTTTCAGAAAATGTCAAGCAAAACTTAACTGTAATTTTTTTTTAAACATTAAACGTATTTAATAAAAATTTATACATGCTTATGTAAGACCGTCAATCTGAAATATCTTGATTTGAAATTTAAGCTCCCAGTCAATGAACCACATGCTAAAATCAATTATGAAGGAGGAGCGAACAGAGATATCAAGTTTCCAATGCTCCAGTATTTTCAGTAGAAATGTGCCAGCATTCCTTATGAAATTGGTTTACCACTTAGTTTACCGGAGAATGTCTCCGACGTTAAGAACGAAGCCACTCAGCGTGGGCGACGCAGTGAAATTTCTCCCATCCCCACCGACGAGAGCTCCATGGCCATATGGCATCGGTCTGTCAGGAACTGCCGGGACTTCAATATCCCCCTCTAGCATCCTCAATGCCTCTTCAATAGTTGGCCTCAAGGCCACCATGACATGCGCGCAGAGAATCCCCACATGCACAAACCGCTCCATGATACCCTTCGGCCCACTACCCTCCCCACTCATCACAGCCATGTCAAAAACCTCCACAATCCTCCCTGCCTTCACAAGCGTCCACGCCCAATCGGTAATAAGCACAACGCCAGACGGTGAAGCCATGTCGAGCGCCCTGCGCCCGCTCATGATCTCCAGAACCACCATTCCAAAGCTGTAAACATCGCTCTTCTCTGTCAGCTGGCCGTAGAGTGCGTACTCAGGCGCAAGGTAGCCGTGGGTCCCCGCTACCCGAGTAGTGAGATGCGACTGGCCCTCTCGGCTTTGCCGTGCAAGCCCGAAGTCCGCAACCCTCGCCCGCATCTCGCCGTCGAGAAGGATGTTGGTTGCCTTAATGTCGCGGTGGTAGATCGCCGGCTTTATCCCGTAATGCAGATAAGCCAGCGCTTTTGCAACATCAAGGATTATGTTCTTCCTCTGCGGCCAGGTAAGAGGGGGGCGCTTGCTGCAGTCGTGAAAGATGTAGTCGTCGAGACTGCCATTGGGCATGAAGTCGTAGATAAGGAACTTTTGCGTTCCTTCATCGGCTTCAGCATCGGTGATACAGCAGCCGCGGAGAGGGACGAGGTTACGGTGGCGGAGATTGCTGATGATCTCTACCTCGTTGCGGAACTCATCGTCGCCCTGGAAGTCCGATTCTAGGACGTGCTTCACAGCGACAGTGCTGCCGTCGGATAGTACGCCGCGATACACCACGCCGAAACCACCCCGGCCTATAAGATTTCGCTGGGAGAAATAATTTGTTGACTTCTCGAGTTCCCGTATGTTGTACCAAATGGCGCCGGTGTTGGGGCGAGGGTGTGGCCAGGAGGAGGAAAACTGACTATCCATGGAGGCAGCTGCGGCGGCCGTGTTTCTTCTTTGTTTGTGGGATCGCCAGAGATAGAGGGCAAGGGCAGCGGAGAGGAGTAAGAAGGCGGCGGCTGCAGAGGAGGAGGCGTAGACTGCTGCATGGGAGGATGGAGAGGAGGAGGATTTGGGATGGGGAGGGTATGGGGAGGCCAGGCCTAGGATGCAGAGGGAAGCGCGGGGATCCTCGGGGCCGAAGTTGTTGGCGATGCCGGCGGCGTAGGTGACGGTGAGGTAAAAGCAATTGGTGGCGTGGGAAGTGTTGCCGTCAAGGGCGGTGAGGCGGGAGGAAATCTGGAAACCGGCGGAGAGGCAGGCTGAGCAGCTGGTAAGGTCGAGCAGATCGGGGGCGCAGTCCGAATCAACGGCGGTGGAGTTCCCAAGCCGGACTTTCCAGTCTCGGAGAGACATGATGCCGTCGCAGAAGTCCGGAGAGATAACGAAGCGGTTGGGAGAAGGGAAGCAGGTGTGTACGAGGGAGGAGGGAAGGGAGAGCTCGGAAAGCCGGGACTGGAAGGAGGCTAGGCAGACGGCAGAGACGGCGACGGAGGGGAGACGGAAGAGGGAGGTGACGCGGAGGCGCTGAGAGAGTCCGATGCCCAGCACGCTGAGAAGAGTCGTGCAGCAACTGGTCATGTTGTTGGAGCTCGGAAGGCAAGACGTGTGATCCCATGGGAACTGGGTTACGTAACTCAGGTTCATCGGACAACTCTCGGCTGCTGCCGGCGATACCGTGGCCATTGCAAGAGCTGCGGAAACCGCTGCGACTAGCAGCAGCTCTGGGATTAGGGGCGGAGCGATGCGCATCTTGAGTTGAAAAATTAAGTATGTTTGGTCTCGCTTTTGTTAATGATTAGTTTAGGATCGGTTGGAAATGGCCGGAGAAGTGTGGCTTCCGTCCCAGATAAGGGCACGAGCTGGAGGCAGGTCAGATCTGGCGGCGGCATGGGTTGGGCTATGAAGTAGAGTTTGTGTGATTTTTATTTTTTATTTTATTTCCTTAAAGTGGATTTACTGGGAAATCATATAAAATTTTTAATTTGTATATCTAACAATTAAATTTAATTATTTACTTAAACACCTAAAATTTTGAATATCAATAAAAATATCATCCAAATCCCTTTTGGTTGACTTCTCATGGATTAGTTATTATGTGCAGATGTCGAACGTCATCTAGAGACCAATCAGAATGCGCCACATCACCCATTGCTCGGTACCTTCAGGTACTATGTCTCGGTACTACCAACGTAACATATTCTGATTGGTCTTCGGATGATGTTCTACATCCGATATCCGCATAAAATAATTTCTCATTCTCATGACTTCTATGACCTTTTGCATCCTTAGCACGCCACAATTCTCATTGCCTTCACTTCATGGCATCAATTGGCGAAGCACAAGGAAATCACAACAATGCTCGCTATGGTAATGCTCTAACAAGACAAATGAAAAAGGAAATCACATTAGAGCTCGTTCGGGCAATGTATCAAGGCGACCGATTTAAGGAAAATGAAGTATTGCTGGAGCTCATTGGGTCAATACATTGATGAGGCCGAAAAGAAACTTGCGACGGAACTTGCTAGGGGTAGCCTAATGGAGTTAAAAATGTCTTGGATTATGTAATATTAAAGTTTACATGGTAAATATGTCAATGCAAAAATTTTTAGTGCTAAATTTATTAATCCTCCTTTTTCTTAATGATAGAGTCGAAACACAATATTATTAAAAGAATAAATAAAATATATAATACGTCAAACAAAGAAAGGAGCTATTAAGTAAAATACTTCTGAAGTTTGCAGATAAAATAAGACAAAATATTACATGGTGAATAAAAAAATATATCCCCACCTATTAAGGCATCAAGAAAAGACATTGTAGCAGTTGCGAAGCAATAACCTGACATTAGACCTATCAAAATCATTAAGTCATAAAATTGTAATAGCCAATATCAAAATTTGTGATAGAACATGTGACTTATTAGTTAAAAGAAATATTTATATCTTCAGTATTATAAATTTGAGCCTTATATTTTCTGCATCATTATAAATAAATAATGTCAAAACTCTTTTTTTAGTGAAAAATAATTTTCAATAAAATGAAAAATGATGCACAAATATACCTTAATCTAATCAACGACAAAAAATAACAATTGGAATCGGCAATATATCCAAAGAAAGGATTAAAAACAAATTATCACCTGAATTCAGGGTAGCAAATGGGTCTTGTCCATGGTTAGGAGACGAACTCTATTAGACTCCGTCATCTTTTGCCTCAAAGAATTCTTGAAACCAATAAAGAAACATCACCAATAAATAATAATATTTAAAGGATTTCAAATATTATTATAAATGACTGACAGAGCATGAAATTCCTTTCATACCAGATTGTACCAAATGAATTCTTTCATTTTGAACTATTCTTACAATACGATATCAGGTCGTACAGATGTCTGACAGTATACAAAATTATATTTGTACAAGATTGTACCATACAAATACATTTCTTTTTAAAATGTTCATATAGTATGATCTCAATTCATATAGGCAATTAACTCTGTATGAAATTAAGTTTGACCCAGTTCATATCAAGCGAAGCCCTAATTTTTTTTTTTTTTGAATTGTTTGTACCATACGATCTACGATCGTATCATACAATAGTAAGTTAGTTTTCTTGAATTTTTCAATTCTTGGATGATTTTTTACATGATTTCTATATAAACTATCCTAAAAATTGTCTTGTAGATCCTTTGCTTCAAATTTCTCTTGAGAGTGGCCTTTTGGGAGTGTGTTTTGGAGAGATATTGTGATTTAAGAGTGAGAGATCAAGTGAAGGGGAGTTATGAGGGATTCACAAGGTTGCCTAAGTAAGGTTCTCTTTGTCTTCTTCAAGTTTCTACCGAACTTCTTTGGAGGCTCTTGAAAGAAGATCTTCAAGGTGGGATCAAGGTTTTCTGCCTTCACCATGAGGGTGAAAGAGGACGTGATAGTTCCTTGCCTTCACTAGGAGGGAGAAAAGGATGTGTAGGTACTCTTCCTTCATTATGACGGTAAAAAAGGAAAGGAAGTTACACTGCCATCACTTGGAGAGTATAAAAGGTGACAGTTCTCTATCGCACCGAGTTGACGGAATAGAGTTTATAAGGGCTTCTCCATCTTGTTATGGGGGAAAAAGGAGAGTCATTTATGTTTAGTGTAATACCTAGAGAAGGTGTCTCGAGGGAGTGGATTTAGGTCTAGTTGAACCGAACCACTATAAAATTTGGTATTCTTCTATTACCTTTAATTTTTCTTGCAATTTTATTTTATTATATTTAAGTTTTATGGTTGAAAAAATTATCTATGGTAATCATTTTTATAAACAACAGCAAGTTTTAGGATTAGTGATTTAACTTTCAAAAAGGATCTAAAAAAGTTTTAAATATCCAAGATTTTTTATATAACTAATTCGCTCCTCTCTTTGGTTAGCCTTGAGACGGTTCTATAAGGTCTAACAACCTACATGAACTTTCAAGTGGTATTAGAGTTGATTTCAAAAGTTAAGTTTAGACTACTTTTTGAAAAATGATCATGGCTAACTTTGGATATCAAAATACTTCTGAAGGATGTTCAATCATTAGACCACCTGTATTCGATAGCATTCATTTTGATTTTTAGAAAACTTGCATGTATACTTTTCTATAATCCATTGACTATATATCGCATGTAGATATTAGTACAAGATGGTTATACCAGACCTACTAGACTTGTTGATGGCATTAGAATTGCAATACCATTTACTGATTGGACATTAGAAGAAAAAGAATTAACACTGTAAAATTATAAATATTTAAATAATTTTTTCTATGCTTTGAGATTTGAAGATTATATATGTGTTTTTACTTCCAAAATTGAAAAAAAAAGTATGGGATAAACTTTGCATAACTTATGAAGGAACAAACAAGGTAAAATAATCTATGTTGAATATTTTATTAATGGCTATAAACTATTTTGTATGAAATCAAATGAGTCAATTTTTGATATGTACACAAGGTTTACTCAGATTATTATCTCATTGCATACTTTAGGTAAAGAATTTATAAATTTAGAAAAAAATAATAAAATTTTATGTTATTTACGTACTGCTTATGATACAAAGATTATTATAACAACTGAGTCTAAAGATTTGAAGATATATTTTATTGACAATCTCCTAAAATCACTGATTGCATATGAGCAAGGAGTGAATTAAAGATAGATTAATGCAGGTAATAAATGAAAAGAGAAAAATATAGTTTTGAAAGTTTATGATTAAGATAGTGATCAATCAATGCCAGAGGATAAAGAGCATGTTTCACTTATGACTAAGAAATTCAAACATTTTCTTAAGAGAAAGCAATAATGATGTTAGCTTTTGAACAAAGGTAAGTACATTAAGAATCCAAAAGTTTCTAATGAAGTTAGTTATGAATGCAAAAAAGTCTAGAAATATAAAAAGTGAGTAACCAAATCTTAAAGCTAATCCTAATAAGGAGAAATTTGAGGAGAAAACTCACATTATGAATGACAAGAAAAAAATATAAAGAGCTTTATGGGCTGACTCAGCTTCAGACTATTTAGAAATAGAAACAAAAGAAGAGGTTACAAATTTGTGCTTAATGACAGATAAACTTGATCATTCAGATCAAGATGAGGTATGTGACATATCATACAATGAATTATTTAAAGTTTCTGAGAAGATTCATAATACATATAGAAAACTTAAAAAAATTGTATGCTAATCTTAGTATCAAGTATTTGAATTTACAAAAAGAGCATGAAAAACTTAGTAATGATCATACAAACATATATAGAAATCATATGGCTTTGCTAGATGAGTTTGAATATTTGAATAAGAAGCATGAACTATTGAGAATATTCAATATTGTGATTGAAAATAATTTTAAAAATTTTATGGGTGAATCTCATCAAAGGGAACATGATTTGAAAATTAAAAATTCAATTTTTAAAAGTGAAAACTCTATTCTTCAAATAAATTTGAAAGCTTTCAAGGAAGATAATATACCTCCCACACTTAAACAATTTTATAATCCTTACCAAAACCTGACAATTTCAAAACCTGGAAAAAGATATTATAACTCATATAAATTACTAACCCATTTTCTTAGTACTAAATATTTTTTATGTTGCATGTTAGGGCATATTTAATTCACTTGCAATATTCATAGTAAGACATATTTAGAGTGGAGACCTAAGATGCATCAATCATTACATATCAAACATGCATATAGATTATTATTGTCAAGAGGTGAACCCAAATGTATTTTGGTTCCCAAGTCTAATATTTGATAATTTTATATAAATGCTCTCATAAAAGCCCTTGTGAGAGCATTTGGTACTTGGACTATGGATGTTCAAAATATATGACTAAAGATGCAAATCAATTTTTATTGCTGGAGGTCAGGACTTGAGCCATAGTGACACTTGGAGTTAATACCACGAGAAGAGTGGAAAGTTCATATATGATTTGTAACATAAAATTTTTTCTAATTGAAAATGTTTTATTGCTTGAAGGCTTAAAACATAATTTGCTAAGTATTAGTTAGCTTTGGGATAAAAGTTTTAATATAAAAGTTTTGCCTATAAGCAGTATTATAAGCCAAAATGGAGTTAATGTATTGCATGAAGAAAGGGTAAATAATATTTACATGTTTGATTGAAATTATTTTAAATCTTTTAATGCTTTTTATCTAAAAATTATTACTGATGAATATTGGTAATGACATAGAAGATTTTATCATGCAAGCAGGAAAAATCTTAGAAAGATTACTCAAAAGGAATTGGTTAGAGGAGTACCCAAATTAGACTTTACTAGGGATCATCTATGTGATGCGGGTCAATTAGGGAAACAAGTCAAATCCTCCTTTCACTTAATTAATGATGTTAGAACTAGCAATCCCTTAGAAGTCCTTCACATCGATCTCTT